CCGCTTGAGCCACAGGCGCCGAGCCATGTTCCCTACTTTTAGCAGAAAGGTTCCAATTTGGGTATAGTGAAGTATAATTTAATATGAAATTCTAGCTGTAGAGACAAAATAATACTTGAATTCAACTTTAAGTGTTTCCATTCAGTATGAGAATGCATATATATCTGGTGGGTAGTAAAGTCAAAGTCATATGAATAAAGCAAATATTTTCTTTAATTTTTTTTTTATTGTTGGGGATTTATTGAGGGTACAAGAAACTAGGTTACACTGATTGCATTTGTTAGGTAAAGTCCCTCCTACAATTGTGTCTTGCTCCCAAGAGGTGTGTCACACACTGAGACCCCACCTTTTTTTTTTTTTTTTAATGTCGATAGTCTTACTTTGTTGCCCTCAGTGAAGTGCCTTGGCATCATAGCTCACAGCAACCTCAGACTCTTGCCATGATGTTATAATCTCACAGCAACCTCAAACTCTTGGGCTCAAGCAATTCTCTTGCCTCAGCTTCCCAAGTAGTTGCCCACCATAACGCCTCCCTATTTTTTTGTTTTAGTAGGCCCAGGCTGGGTTCAAACCCACCAGCCCTGGTGCATGTGGCCAGCACCCTACCCACTGAGCTACGGGCGCCACCAAGAATAAAAAGCAAGTTTTAAATGTTCATTTACAATTATCTACTCAATATTTTTTCTTGGCTTGTAAAGGGGGGGGGTGTTAATTGTCCATTTCATTAAGCTGATTAACACAGTAACTGCCATGTGAGTTGTATTTAATGCATGCTAGTTTTAAGCCCAGTTCCTTGTGAAGCATATAAAACTAACTGGTGGATAAGCAGGAAGATGCATAGCATACCTGGGCGCTGTGAAACCTCTGCTCGTTGTTTTTGCTGTCAATTAGCAGGTCTCCCTTACTTCCTGTCACCCTGCTCCAGTCGCCCTGCCCAGTGTGCCACTACATATGCTGGACTATGTTTTCTGTTTACCACAACTTTCAGTTGTGCATTCCCCCTTGAATGATCACCTGGTGGCTCTTTGAATGAAATCGTAGGATAGTATGCAGTGACACATTGTTGTGCGTGTATACATACTTAGGGGATATGATCTAGATCGCATCCAGCACCACCCAAGGTCCACTCCAGATACAGCTAAATAACGTATGAAGTGACAAGACTTGACTGTCAGAGACTAAGAAGTATGTTGTCAGTGACATACAGCTCATGTGGTGTGCAGAATAAAAATTGATTCCAGCGCTGTGAGTTACAGATTAAAATCACGTACAAACAATAAACTTTTCATTAAATTAGAAAGGATTGTTTTTGAAGTTTTTATTCTGTTTTTGTAATACAGCACTGTGGTCCCAAGGGAAAAAAGTTTTCTTCTAGTGTGGCAATGTATTAAAATTAGTAATTTTCAAAATGGGATCTTTAGTTGAAGAGGAAGGGGGAACAGAAAGGGTTTCTTCTATTTTAAATACATATTAAATTTGTATAATTCAATTGTTTCAGTTATTTGGATTCTTAACCTAAATATAAGTGACAATTATATTTACCCCAGACCAGAGGTAAGTTGCCTGATTGTTTAAATTATGGCTGTTTACATAACTTTTGGCCTGGCCCAGCTTCAAATGCAGCTGTGTTGGATGTGTGGGTAGTTGTTAAGCAGGCCATGGAATACTTTTGCTCTCAGAGGAATGTGTGAGAAAAACACTTAGGTGCTGGGCTTTTATCCAGCTAACAGTTCAGCTATAAAGTTGACATGGGCTTGGCAATTACATTCCAGTAATTTTTTTTTTTTTATCCTATGGACTAATCAGGGGTGTCCCAACTTTTTTTTTTCCTCTGCCACACAGTGGAAGATTAAGTTGTCTTGGGGCACACATTAAATATATAAAGGCAAAAAAAAAGGTCCCTGCATACTTATTGTGATATCCAACACCATAGATAAGCAAAAAAACTCCTAACAAAATCAGCACGCCACAGGTTGGACACCCCTGGACTAAGTAATTGTTAACATTGCTGTTTTGGCCTCACCTACGGATTATAGCAGAGAATTTTAAAGAAATTATTGTGTTTTTTATTAGCATTGCTTAATTGGAGGGAGAAGTGTCCATAAACTCTGGCCTGATTTAATTGAAACCTTGAATTGAAACCTTCCCATCAGCAATTCTGGCCTTATTCTAGGTGGTAGTGCTTATAAACATAATTCATCCTCTTGATTTTCTGAAGTGCTGCTTTTTGTTCTTGTTCCCAGAGCATGGAATTCTTAAAGGAATTTTAGAGACTGGAGCAACTAAGCAGCCACTGACATAGTGAAGGTAGTATAGGCTGTAACTTCCTTTACCTCAACCTGGGAATCCCACTGGGTGGTGGGGCGGGGGGATTCTGGATTTTTAGAAGATGTTAACTTGTCAAACAGATGAATAATTGTTCATATATAGCATAATTGTTTATATACATAACAGAAATTAGGGTCTTCATGGAGGCAGTAAACTTGTTTATAAATTCATTTTTACACTGAAAGATTCATGAATACCATATTAGTAAAAATAATGTAAGAATTATAGTAGATATATATTTATACAAAAGCACTGTATTTTATTTAACTTGATACAAAAATTTGGTGATTAAAAACATTAAATAGGTAATGAGTTTTATTTTGAAGATCATTAAATCAATTTTAAAAATGTAGCTATTTTAGTTTGATCACTTCAGCCATGTTATAGCCCTATAAGCAAGTGCTATAAACAGCAACTTTCTGGCTTATATCCTTTAGGAGTGAACGGACTTCTCCTTCTAATCTCACTAATTCTTGAGCTTTATCTTCTAAATACTTTTGATTGTCCTCATATTTTCTTTCTAAATCTGTGGAAGATAAAAAGGAAAAGTCAGTCTGAGCAATTTATACCATGATAATTTCAAAACCTAATCTAATCTTTACCTGTAATGCTTGGTTTAAACACTTAAGACAAAGTGAATAGATTCAAACTTTATGCCTTTAAAATTACTTTGTAAAAACAACCAGAAACATGAGCCTAAGTGAGAAGACCCAGCCCACCTTTCAGCAGTTGGAGCTTGCTGTTTGCTTGAGCCAGAAGTGTTTTTGCTTCATTTTGTAGCATTTCAGCTTTCCTCCTTGCATCAGCTGACTCTTCAGTTTTTTTGGCAATTAAATTTTCTACTTTCTTGTACTTTTCATCAACTTCACCATCTAAAGTCTGCAGTTCCACATTCGGAGAGAAAGAGGTGATAGTATTAGTGTCAGTGATTATGTGTTAGAGAGAAGTAGCATACTCATGGCAAGCTCAGACCACATAGACATGCATGGCACACATTCTGGATTAAGGGCCATGGGTTAAGCTTCATCAAGGTATTCAATAAGTAA